AGAGTCTACACATCCAACAAAATGTTTAAGTTATCTTCTAGTACATGTCAGTTCAACAAATTTATCCGTAAAAAGCTATAAAATCATAATGAATGCATATACTGTTATAAGCTAAATTTATAATTGTTTCAGCAGGATTTAGAACCCTAATCCAAAACATTCAAGGTTGTCTGCTCCGATGTCCAGTTGTGCTGTCTTCTCTCTTCTCCTTGTCGCGGGGAGGGTGCCTGCAAAAGACACTCCGACGCTCAAGTCAGTGACTTCGCGTAATAATCTTGTAATTAAGATTTTGTTATGAGAGCTCTAAGTCTCAGTTCAAGTTAAAAGTTCCCTGTACCCTTTGCCAGACTAATATTTATAAATTATAATGAGTTTACCATTAGGTTTGACTCATTAACCACCAATGAATGACAATATTAATTGTCAATAAATGCCAATTATTTTCATTAACTCCCCGACAGTTATTACTATTAATTACCTTAACGGTTGATTTAACCGATCGGTTTACTAACCTGAGAGGTATCATCGGTCGGGCTGATTTTATCGATCGGTTCATTGACCTAAGAGGTATCATCAGTCGGACTGATTTTACCGATCGGTTCATTGACCTGAGAGTTATCATCGGTCGGACGACTCTTCTGCACTTTTACCGTTCGGTAGGCTATGAGCCCATAGTAACATAAGCCTCCCAAGCCCTAGCAAAAATTTTGATGTTGCGTTGGGTTTATAAAGTTATATCAATCGGTAGAGGATTTTTACCTGAGTTTCAATTCACACTAGCATGAGTTCCCTTGAAATGTTCTCAGACCAAGGCGAGAGTTCACGAAAGAGCTTGCTTTGCCGCTTGATTTATGTCTTAGGAGCTCTCTAGAAGCGTGCCCTAAGACCAAGGTGAGAGTTCACGAAAGAAATCTGCCTCACCCGCTCAGTTTAGGTCTTAGGAGCTCTCTAGAAGCGTGCCCTAAGACCAAGGTGAGAGTTCACGAAAGAAATCTGCCTCACCAACTAGGTTTAGGTCTTAGGAGCTCTCTAGAAGCGTGCCCTAAGACCAAGGTGAGAGTTCACGAAAGAAATCTGCCTCACCCGCTCGGTTTAGATCTTAGGAGCTCTCTAGAAGCGTGCCCTAAGACCAAGGTGAGAGCTCACGAAGAGACTGCCTCACCGAGTTGAAAAATGTTCTGTGCCGATCGGTTTGCTCAAGGTTGGCCAAGTAGTTTGTATATAGTCTTGTCATCTGCATCGAAGAAAAAAAAACAACACACAAATTTCGAACGGTCAGAAATATGTAGCTGAATTTAGTTTGAGTTGAGACCGGACGTGACCGCTCGGTCAAAAATGTGGAGGTCGGACGTGACCGCTCGGTCAAAAATGTTGAGGCCGGACGTGACCGTTCGGTCAAGAATGTTGAGGCCGGACGTGACCGCTCGATCGAAAATGTGGAGGCCGGACGTGACCGCTCGATCGAAAATGTTGAGGCCGGACGACCGAGCGGGTGAGACTGTTCAGTCTTGATGTAACTTCTTTAGAGTCTTGTGACCTGCAAGATAATATCAAGAATATAGAGGTGACCGGTCGGTCGAAATGTGACTGCTTTAGAGTCTTAGAATCTTGTGACCTGCAAGATATAATGAAAATATAATTTATATTTAAATAAAAACGTCCATTTGATCACCGCTGTGTATCCGAGTCGAAACTTAAATTTGAATTTACATGGTGTATCCGGAGAACTTTTTCGATTCTATCTCTCATGTTGCCCGATAATAAATCATGTGACTTGAACCGACTTTAGCAGTTGCATAATCGTGAGGCGCTGCCCGACGGCCTTTGGCTTGGGGAATGCCGCGAGTGTTGCAAATGATGCGGAGGTTGGTCCGAACGGTGCGACTGCTATCGCGGGTGTTGGTGACCAGACCGAACGGCGCAGCTGTCATCGCCAACGGCGGGCTGGTCTCGTCGAAGGAAAATGGCTGCCGCGTATTATGAAGAATGAAACCCTGGGTTTCCCTGCTTTTCGCGTTTCACACGGGTCAAACCATGAAGAGGACGACTTTGATGATTGTTGCATCTGAAGTTTTCTTATTTTTGTGATTCATTTTTGTAACCAGGGGATTTAACAGATGGTTTCCGATTTGGGGAATTTCTCGGTGAAGAATTGCTATTGTGTTCTTGATCCTATTTGGGGTTTCCTGTGTATTCATGGCGGAGGGTTTCTTGAAATTGGGAATTCTCTCTCTGCCCTTGAGAGCATCCTTCGTGACTAAGGCGGCATCAACGACGGGACGAACGAATCTGTCAGCAAGAGGCGCGAAACGCGTGGAGTACCGGCTCACGACCCTGCTATTGAGAGGGGTGCTAGCGGTGGCATCAATGGCTGCCATGGTGATGGTAAGTCTCACCCAAAAGAGTTGTGTTTTGTATTTTGTATCCGAACGGTGCGATCGTTTGACAAGGTTACCGCTATGCGCAACCCCAACGGAACGGAATCTGACATCAGTGATGAAAGGTTAGGTGCTTGGGTACAGACTGTCCGACGATAGAGTAGCGGACGTGGCCGATGGCGAGGTCGCCGTTGATGCTTACAATGTCGTGCTCCTGGTGAATTTTCTCATTACCCTACGCTTCCTCGAAAGACGTTTGTTGGATACGGTGGTCCTATAAAAGCCATAAATGCTTGGCCAGTGTTTGCACTGAAGGGACTTTCCAAATGGCGAGTCAGTAAAATGATGATACATTCTTACATGGAAGTAACAAATTTCCATATTTTTCCAAAAATTCTATTTCTTCAAAATATTATATATTATTATCTTCAGAATTAACTGATAAATAAGAAAAGAGAACTTGTATAACCAAAACCATTCGAGACAGGTTGGTCGGCTAATTGTCGCAATTGTTGATCATGAAGAAATTATGGCATTTCTAATGGTATTGGATTATGAACCAAACTATGCTATATGTTAATGCTTGAAACCAAAAATTGTCATCTCTCAATAAATGCTTGAAAGAAGAAATAGTTCTTTTCTTTATCATTATGACCTTTCCTGAAAGTTTCTTAATTAAAAAGACATATATTTAGAAGTTATTTTTATAGTCTTTTATTCTTGTTGTAAAACCTTTCATAGAAAATCACATATTGTCGTAAAACGAATTAAGAAATAAAATCAACCATGATATTTTTAATTAATCAACATGTTTAACCTCCACACAGAAGCCACGTCATGGGACGAAAAGTAATTTCTTTTTATTCAGAGATGAATGTATCATGAAAGTGGTTATCTTTTCAATATTCAATATTTTATAATATATTTTTATAACGAAAATCTTATTCATAATTTGAGAAGAAAGTGCTTATCTTTTCAAGGGCTTCCCTGCAAAAACTTAGGGGACCTCTGACACGTATCTCGTTGGTGGAATTTGACAAGTGCTCATCTTATAACCAAATTTTCTAGTGTTGATCCTCGAGACCGAGGGCGCGTCTGGTTTCTCGTGGTTTCATGGAAATGTCGTTCGGTTCCATGGTGGGTGTCAAAATGTTTCAGCAGGATTTAGAACCCTAATCCAAAACATTCAAGGTTGTCTGCTCTGATGTCCAGTTGTGCTGTCTTCTCTCTTCTCCTTGTCCAAGTCACAGGGGAGGGTGCCTGCAAAAGACACTCCGACGCTCAAGTCAGTGACTTCGCGTAATAATCTTGTAATCAAGATTTTGTTATGAGATCCCTGTACCCTTTGCCAGACTAATATTTATAAATTATAATGAGCTTACCATTAAGTCTGACTCATTAACCACCAATGAATGACAATATTAATTGTCAATAAATGACAATTATTTTCATTAACTCCCCGACAGTTATTACTATTAATTATCTTAACGACTGATTTCACCGATCGGTTTACTGACCTGAAAGGTATCATCGGTCGGGCTGATTTTATTGATCGGTTCATTGACCTGAGAGGTATCATCAGTCGGACTGATTTTACCGATCGGTTCATTGACCTGAGAGTTATCATCGGTCGGACGACTCTTCTGCACTTTTACCGTTCGGTCGGCTATGAGCCCATAGTAACAATAATTTATCCAAATTAAGTTTTATTTTTAATTTACACAACTAATTTTAACTCTTAAAAAAATATTTATTTATTTTCTGAAAGTCATTATAAAAGAGCTGCTCCAAACATGTAATATCATCGGTAACAAAATTGGATAGTGCACTAGTTGGATAAAAAAGAACAAATGGGGTTGTGGGCATCCCTTATTCCTTGTCACTCAATATGAAGAACCCTTACATAAAACCCTAAATATTATTTTTTTTAATCATACTCAGAGTTTCGTGTTAATAGTATACAATTTATTTAATATTTCATATCAAACACTGCCATTGTTTATATGTTTTTTCCTATATAATGTATCTGGTCTAATCCTCTGCTGTGTGACTGTGCTGGAGGCACGGGTCCCGTAGTCAAGATTGTTGTACTCTGAAAATTTGTTAACACGGTATCCAATTAGCATGATTTACGTCAACCCCATGAAAAGATAAACACAAGTCGTGAAATTGTCTTAAAAAGTAAATATTTAACTTAATCAATATCTTTTCATATAATATATTTTTAGAAACATATAATTATAGTTTTCTAATATAATCCTTCAAAAAAAGCCATTAACAAATCTAATTTTTTTGTTTAACTTGAAAAAGTGATATAGTTTTTAAAATTTTGTACTCTTTAAAATTTATTTTTTATAAATCAATAACTCCTAATTAAATTGTATCCTAATTAAACTTTTGACCTGAAAAAATCTGACCAAAAACACATAGTTTCATAGCTAATACAATACGTTTTCATAGTTGTAGTAATTTAGAAGTTTGTTTTGGAAAACATGGCATGGGAAAGAGCGAAACGAAGTGTGAAAGGGAAAAGTGGATGAAGGGAGGGGCACTTTTTAATTCAAAATAAAAGGCAATAATTAGAGCAAGAAGCAAGCGGTTTTCATCATCAACTTTTGAAGGATGGAAAATGAAGGCTCGAATAGGTGTTCTTGTTCTGCACGCACTCTGGTGTCAATATTGGCTTCAATTATTCTTCTATTCCAACCAGATTACTGCATCGCTAAGCGACGGCCACCATGTCCTCCTTCATCATGCGGCCAAATTCGCAACATATCTTACCCATTTCGCCTAAAAGGTGACCCAAGCCAATGCGGCGACCCAAGGTATGAGTTAGATTGCGTTAACAACGTCACACTCTTAACCTTGTTCTCGGAGAAATACCATGTACGAGACATCGACTATAAGCAATACAAAGTCGTTGTCAGTGACCCGGGTCAGGAGGAAGAAGCTAATTGCTCCTTCATCCCTCGCAATTTCTTATCGGACAGTAATTTCAGGCCCACGGGCCTGGTTGGCCCAGATGATTTCGGATCGGAGCCGTTCACTTGGGAACCCTGGTATACTCTCCGAATAGGGTACTTTAACTGCGCGAATCCTGTGAGTGACGATCCACGATATGTTAAGGTGGAGAGAGGTGAATGTGGGAGAGGTGGGCACGTGTACGCGGTATTAGAACCGTCTTTGTATGAGGTTCGTGTGAAGGACATCAAGGTTGGGTGCGATCTGATGGTGGCTACAGTGGTTGACTGGTCACCGAAAGAGAATGTGAGCTACGACGAGATCCGTGGCGTGATAAGGGAGGGAATTCGGTTGTCGTGGTTGCCGGTGATTTGCGAGGATCGATGTGGAAGGGGAACGGACTGTAAGGTTATCAACGGAGAAGTCCAGTGTGAGGAACATTACTGCCATTACGCCTACCACACCACCGATAAATGCGGTATCATCCACTTTCTCTGTCTTATTATTATTATTTTATTTTAATAGATATATCGTGTGCTTATACTATTCATTGAATATTATAGAAAAATTATTAAGTTATCATGGAGATTTTACACCCTTGATGACGTGTATTTCCTTTTATTTATTTATTTTTTAATTTTAAGTTATAAATTCAAGAATATACACTTAGAACAATTTCAAAATTATAATAAATATAACTTTTAAGCAAATTAATAAAAAGCTAATAAACATTTAAAATTAGCGATCAGATTTTTTTTTTCTAAAAAGGAATGGTTAAAATCCTTTTTTTTTTATTAATTCAGCAAATTCATTTTTTTAGTTGGATAGTGTTGGGTGATGTAGTGGGTTGACGGGTGACTATGAACTTATATGGTAATGTAAATAGTTTATCCACAAAACAAAGGCCATTTCTTTCTTCACCTTTATCAATTCAACTTGCACTCATAATTTTTTTATTCGAGAATGTAGAATTTAAAATATAATTTTTATATTTTTTAAATATTTTTTTTTAAA